ATACAACCTCGTTTGCAGGACATTTCCGTCAGTTTGAACAGTAGTACTTACTGTACTTATAGGTCCATCAACGTGATAATCCAAACTAAACACATCCCAGCCAGTATCACCAGGAGAAACCTTCAAAACATGATAATAGCGCTTATAAGTACCAATTAACAGTCAACTTTAAAACAGTTCGTCGCCAAGTAGTTGTAGACTTCATGAAACAAGAATTGCCAGTTTATGAACGGCTTCAAAAATAAAGCCTGCGAGCAAGCTCACCGGAGCGCTCTGACGGCGGGGCGGGAATAGGAAGGAGAGCTTGCAACTACGTCTCTGATATTTGAATATCTGCATCGAAAACGACGATACGAAATGCTGATTGGCGGAGATGACATTAGTAATGACGTCATCACCCTTGACACTGGTTTTACAATGTTTGCTTACATTCGCGCTCGTTTACGCTTCGTGCTGATCGGCGGAAATCTGACCGCTCAGTCGACAGGGAACCACAGGGAAATTGGACGTGGAATTCAAATTCCAGAGACGTAGTTGCAAGCTCTGCTTTCTTTTCCCGCCCTGCCGCCAGATCGCCCTGGAGAGCTTGCTAGCAGACTCTCTCTAAGACTTACACCTTTGAGACCGGCACCAAGTTGTCTGTCTTAGAGAGATATTCGTCTTATTCAGAATCAAATAAGGGAGTAAAGACAGGCAGGAACCAAGTTAAGGTGTCCTTTTTACCGAGGTCTGTCTTAAACAGATGCCCGTTAACTCTTTAAGCCCCAATATCCACATGCAAATTCTCCAAACTGGTCTCTATACATTTCCTTTAAGAATAAGTTGAGAGAATTTGATGAAAGATCAAAGCATTTTCTCTTTGGTGATCATTTTATTAATTCTCATAACCTTTTCTTTTGCCAATGTATGGATATCGTTAGGAGAAAATTGATGCTGGTCACTATTGGGACTTAAAGGGTTAAGAGAGAGTCGACTGCACTTTGGTTTTAGAATACAGTCTACTCTGACTTAACTGACACCCCATAAGAAGGAGACCCCTGTAAAACGGACACCAAGCGTTGACCCCTGCCTTTCTTTACTGCCGTAATTGATTATCAATAACATGGGCGCCTATCTAAGACCGAGGCTTAGTGCAGGTCCCTGAGCTGTCTGTCTTAAAGAGAGTTGGCTGTAAATTTTGATAAAAAATCTGCAAACCTAAATACTCGCGATCATGCGCTGTCAACTAGATGTCTCTACTCTGGCGAAAAAAAGAACAATGCCTGATGGCAGGTTACAATCGCAGACACTCATTCAACATCCAACTTCTTTTGCACTTTTGTGATCAATAATTTACTAGTCTTTAAGGTAGTAACATTAGTAACTGTATTTTGAAGGAAAATGCTGAATACTTGTTGAATGTTTTTAACTGATAGCTGTGATTGGTCTGGTTGATCTCTATTCGAATGGGTGGTGCTTACACACATAAAAGGTAATTGCGTTATTTATTTACAATTTGATGTTGAAAAATCAAGACGAAATCCATTAGTAAATTGAGTAATTTTAATTTTCCGAACGTGGATAAAAACCTTGGACCAGAATAATTTCAAGCATCATGCATTTTTTTTCACACTTTTCAAGGGCTATAAATGTAATAAGTTATATGAAATAACTCCAACCATAAAAAGTTCTTAATGGACTCCAGAAAACAAAGTTCAAAAGCCTCAAATTTCACAAAATGGAATGGCGATTTTACTTGTGTTTTCTCAATTCCTGTGGAAGTTTGAATTTATTTTCTCAGGCTCCCGTAAGAAATGTCTTTGGTGTTATTACAGTAACTAATTACATCTACAGCCATTGAAAAGTGTAAAAAAGAAGGCGATATGGCTTAGAATATTCTGGTACAAGGTTTTTGTCCACTAAAAATTAAAATTACTTAATTTCCTAATGGATTCCGTATTAATAACTTAATTTGGTACTTAATTGAGAATATATGCTATACCTCAAGTAGTCTGCAGTCTAATCGTTCAATGATCTCTGGGTCAGCATACTGAGCGTTAGTGGCCCTGATTGCAGTCTCCAACACACCAGTTAAGTTGTGCATGTACAGTGTACTGGCTGCCTTGGCGAGATCAGACCTACACCACAACAACAAGAATGGTTAGTTACTGAAGTGAACACAAAGGAGCTCGACATATTGAGTGAGTGTTTACATAAACGAAATTGGCTGGGAGCAATAAGAGGTGGCAGTATTAGACGGCTAAACTTGCTCAATGAAGAAGGTTCCAAATAAAATGGCTGAAAAATGGCAATTAGAAGTTTTTTGCATCAACAGTTTCCTTGAGCACACAGCAGATAAATTGTCAGTACAAACACTGAAGCTACTAGGGATATGTCCAGAGAGGGCTGGGACAGGTGCCAGCTATATAGATAATGGAAATCTGGCGTGTCTCACAAACCATCGAGAAACTCAGTGTTCGTAGCACCACTTAAGATATTCCCTGATGCGCAGGGTTAGGAACTGGATGGGTGACCAGCCACGAAAACATAATACTGTCGTTAGGAACCCCACTTCCTCTTCTTCTTTTCTTTGTATCATTGTCCCGTTTATTCTTAATTTTGCAATATGCAGTTAAAAATAAAACGGGACAATACATGCATAATGATTAATCAATAATGCTGAATATGCTTTGCAATATGCAATTATGTATTGATAGACTCAAAAACCATGAGAGCATTTCTGTTTCCATAAATCAAGGATCTACATTTTAGTGTGAGGGGGGAGAGGGTTGGGGGCGCTCTTGGACCGGCTCTGAATCCACTTACGGATCATGCACCCTTGTGGCTTAACATTGAAGCACTGTCAACAGGATAAGAAAGCAAAATTAACATTCATGTATTTTAAGCTGATGCAATTCACATCAACTTACTCAAGCAGGTCCATAAGATGCCTGATAAAGTCCCCTTGGCCAAGAAGAAGATACAATCGCAATGCCTATCAAATTAAATATATATATAAACAAATTAATAATTAACAGTGATGGGTATTCCCATTGGTGGATAATCTATTTAGATTTAGAATTAATAAATTAACAGATAAATAAATAAATAGATGAAAATATAAATGAATAAAATAGAGAAGTAGTCAAGAATAAGATTGCTCCTTTGGACAAACAGACAGCTCTACTTAATATTTAACATGACTGCGAGTCTACTCAAGCGTCAGATTCGGAGATAGAGCAAAAGAGAATACCAGAAGAATAGAAGGTAAAATCAACATAGAAGATTTTATGAACTATCTGAGAGGTAAAGCACTCTTTATCGTTGTGACAAATAATCAAGAGGGGTTGGTCCAAGAACTATAATCTGACTCACCACCACCACCACCAACGCCACAACAACAACACTGGAAAATTAATTGAAGAATGGTCTCAAGACATTTCTTACCCTCAAATGATCAAGGAACTTGTATTTAGAGAAGAAAATCTCCAGTAGCCTCTTGCTTGTTTCTCTATAGGCTATATCGACTGTTTCCTGAAGAGCTGCTCCTCCAAACTCTTCATCAGCTGTTAACTGAGCTGCAGCTGAAAAATTATAATAAATGGATCATATTAACAAATCGGAAATACTTTTCCATGGTCTGTACTGTAAACTTACCAACTGTTCCCACCTGCAATTTTGAGATGCAACAAGTTCATCTCTATTATTGCATGGCACGTACGCTTATGTTTCTGCTCCTCAAATGGTCCACTGTTGATTATAAAAATTATTGTTGCTCTCTTGGGGACACAGTTCATAAGTTAATAAGTTTGTATGGCTATGCATTGACAAACTAAAACAGGTTTAGGAACTGTCTTCTACATTTTACCTGATGCCTCCTGTGACTTGTTATAATCTAATGCCTTCTCCTCTCCTCCTCTGATGGGGCTACGATCTTGACAAACATGTCGAATAAAGTTGATGGATTTTCCAATGTTTAAAATCTGTTAAAAATTTTACACCAAAACTAAAATCATTTCAAGAAAAGCAAACACAAGCAACAACATTCTCCACAGAAAANTCTCTATTATTGCATGGCACGTACGCTTATGTTTCTGCTCCTCAAATGGTCCACTGTTGATTATAAAAATTATTGTTGCTCTCTTGGGGACACAGTTCATAAGTTAATAAGTTTGTATGGCTATGCATTGACAAACTAAAACAGGTTTAGGAACTGTCTTCTACATTTTACCTGATGCCTCCTGTGACTTGTTATAATCTAATGCCTTCTCCTCTCCTCCTCTGATGGGGCTACGATCTTGACAAACATGTCGAATAAAGTTGATGGATTTTCCAATGTTTAAAATCTGTTAAAAATTTTACACCAAAACTAAAATCATTTCAAGAAAAGCAAACACAAGCAACAACATTCTCCACAGAAAACAATAAGTGCAATGCGAAAACTTTACGATTTATATGGTTTTAACTAGCTTTTAAAATCATTTTTCTCGTGAAATTTGAAGGTGTTGCCTAATTAATATACTTGGAGAAGGACAATTATCACTACTCATCAAAAAGAAAAGTGCCTTTTTGGGTTTCCATATTTCTTTTTGTTTATGTCCAATCAGAAACAAAATTGTTGAGACATTATGCTAAAGTAGGGTAACTTTCAGGGAACAAAGAAATCCACACCCCTACCTCCTCCCCTCCATTCAAAGTTGGGGTGTTTTTTGTATTCTGCAGGTAGCTCGAACAGTGCCACACAACATTGCATGGAGGGGATGGGAAAGGAAAAGCTTTATTTTCAAATTTTAAAGTTGGCAAAACGTCAAAAAGCCCCGTTTGGGCAAAATGTCTCAACTAATTTTGTCACCGATTGTGGTTTTGCTGTGTTGGTTCATTCGTGTGAAGATGCAAGTTAAAATCGGTCGCAAGGACATCCATACTTCATGTACATGTACAGCTGTAGTTACTATAAAAATGAGGAACCAGCCAAAACAACCCATTACGATCGACAACGACCCACACTGATCAACACAAAAATTCAAAACAACCAACACTAAGAAACAGAAGACTCAGAAAAAAAGCAAAATCAATTTTATATGACGTTTCCAGGAAGATGGGACGTGTTTTGTCTCATTTTGGGTCATTGTGCAGGGTTCTCAAAATGCGCCGGCAACCGGCATTATCACCGGCTACTTTAAGGCTTTGGCCGAATGTAACCTGGGAAACACATACCCTACTGATATGCGTTCTCCTATCTGGAAAACAAATATCCCTAGTAATAGGTGTTCCCCCACCAGCGAAAAACATATTCCTAGTCATATGTGTTCCCCTACCCGGGAAACACATATCTCTAGTGATATGTGTTCTCCCACCTGGGAAACACATATCCCTAGTGATATGTGTTCCCCCACCAGGGAAACACAAATCCCTAGTGATATCTGTTCCCCCACCTGGAAAACCCGTATCTCTAGTGATATGTGTTCCCCTACCTGGGAAACAAGTATCCCTAGTGATATGTGTTCCCCCACCTGGGAAACACAAATCCCTAGTGATATGTGTTCCCCTACCAGGGAAAAACAAATCCCTAGCGATATGTGTTCCCCCAACAGTGAAACACGTACCCCTAGTCATATGTGTTCCCCTACCTGGGAAACAAATATCTCTAGTGATATGTGTTCCCCTACCTGGAAAACACATATTCCTAGTGATATGTTCTCCCCCACGTGGGAAACACATATCCTTAGTGATATGTGTTCCCCCACCTGGGAAACACGTATCCTTAGTAATATGTGTTCCCCTCACAGCGAAATATATATCCATAGGGATATGTGTTCCCCCACCTGGAAAACACATATCCCTAGTGATATGTGTTCCTCTACCTAGAAAACAAGTATCCCTAATGATATGTGTTCCCCCACTTGGGAAACACATATCCCTAGTGATATGTTTTCCCCTACCAGGGAAACACAAATCCCTAGTGATATGTGTTCCCCTACCAGGGAAACACAAATCCCTAGTGATATGTGTTCCCCCAACAGGGAAACACGTATCCGTAGTGATATGTGTTCCCCCACCTGGGAAACACATATCCCTAGTGATATGTGTTTTCCCACCTGGGAAACATGTATCCCTAGTGATATGTGTTCCCCTACCTGGGAAACACATATCCCTAGTGATATGTGTTCCCCCACCTGGGAAACACATACCCCTAGTGATATGTGTTCCCCTACGAGAGAAACACATATCCTAGTGATATGTGTTCCCCCAACAGGGAAACACGTACACCTAGTCATATGTGTTCCCCTACCTGGGAAACAAGTATCCCTAGTGATATGTGTTCCCCCACCTTGGAAACCCGTATCTCTAGTGATATGTGTTCCCCTACCTGGGAAACACGTATCCCTAGTGATATGTGTTCCCCTACCAGGGAAACACACATCCCTAGTGATATATGTTCCCCCAACAGGGACACACGTACACCTAGTCATGTGTTCCCCTACCTGGGAAACACATATCTCTGGTGATATGTGTTCCCCTACCTGGGATACACGCATCCTTAGTGATATGTGTTCCCCTCCCTGGGAAATATATATCCGTAGGGATATGTGTTCCCATACCTGGGAAACACATATCCCTAGTGATATGTGTTCCCCCACCTGGGAAACACATATCCCTAGTGATATGTGTTCCCCCACCTGGGAAACACATATCCCTAGTGATATGTGTTCCCCCACCTGGGAAACACATATCCCTAGTAATATGTGTTTCCTCACCTGGGAAACACGTATCCCTAGTGATATGTGTTCCCCCACTTGGGAAACACGTATCCCTAGTGATATGTGTTTCCCTACCTGGGAAACACGTATCCCTAGTGATATGTGTTCCCCCACCTGGGAAACACATATCCCTAGTAATATGTGTTTCCTCACCTGGGAAACACGTATCCCTAGTGATATGTGTTCCCCCACTTGGGAAACACGTATCCCTAGTGATATGTGTTTCCCTACCTGGGAAACACGTATCCCTAGTGATATGTGTTCCCCCACCTGGGAAACACATATCCCTAGTAATATGTGTTTCCTCACCTGGGAAACACGTATCCCTAGTGATATGTGTTCCCCCACTTGGGAAACACGTATCCCTAGTGATATGTGTTTCCCTACCTGGGAAACACGTATCCCTAGTGATATGTGTTCCCCCACCTGGGAAACACATATCCCTAGTAATATGTGTTTCCTCACCTGGGAAACACGTATCCCTAGTGATATGTGTTCCCCCACTTGGGAAACACGTATCCCTAGTGATATGTGTTTCCCTACCTGGGAAACACGTATCCCTAGTGATATGTGTTCCCCCACCTGGGAAACACATATCCCTAGTGATATGTGTTCCCCCACCTGGGAAACACATACCCCTAGTGATATGTGTTCCCCTACCAGGGAAACACAAATCCCTAGTGATAAGTGTTCCCCCAACAGGGAAACATGTACACCTAGTCATATGTGTTCCCCTACCTGGGAAACACGTACCCCTAGTGATATGTGTTCCCCCACCTTGGAAACCCGTATCTCTAGTGATATGTGTTCCCCTACCTGGGAAACACGTATCTCTAGTGATATGTGTTCCCCTACCTGGGAAACACGTATCCCTAGTGAAATGTGTTCCCCCACCTGGGAAACACATATCCCTAGTGACATGTGTTCCCCTATCTGGGAAACACATATCCCTAGTGAGATGGGTTCCCCCAAGTGGGAAGCACATATCCCTAGTGATATGTGGGCCCCCACCTGGGAAACACGTATCCCTAGCGATATGTGTTACGCTCCCTAGGAAATATATATATCCATAGGGATATGTGTTCCTCTACCTGGGAAACACATATCTTTAGTGATATGTGTTCCCCCACCTGGGAAACACATATCCCTAGTGATATGTGTTTCCCTACCTGGGAAACACATATCCCTAATGATATGTGTTCCCCCACCTGGGAAACACATATTCCTAGTGATATGTGTTTCTCCACCTGGGAGACATGTATCCCTAGCGATATGTGTTCTCCCACCTGGGAAACACATATCCGTAGTTATATGTGTTCCCTTACCTGGGAAACACGTATCCCTAGTGATATGTGTTGCCCCACCTGGGAAACACGTATCCCTAGTGATATGTGTTCCCTTACCTGGGAAACATGTATCCCTAGTGATATGTGTTCCCCTACTTGGGAATCACATATCCCTAGTGATATGTGTTCCCCAACCTGGGAAACACGTATCCCTTGTGATATTTGTTCCCTCAGCTGGGAAACACAAATCCCTAGTGATATGAGTTCCCCCAACTGGGAAAGACATATCCCTAGTGATATGTGTTCCCCCACCTGGGAAACACGTATCCCTAGTGATATGTGTTCCTCTACTTGGGAAAGATATATCCGTAGTGATATGTGTTCCCCCACCTGGGAAACATATTCCAAGTGATATAAAATTTTTTTGACAACCCTGGTTGTGGGTCTTAGTGCTTGTCATTGTGGGTCACTTTGGGTTGTTGTTGATCATTGTCGGTTATTTTGGCTAGTTCCCCGTTTTAGTAACTATTCCATAATTCCTTACAGGCTACACTGCACATGTATGGGTTTCAGAGCACCTATTTCTGGCTAGAGTATAGAAGAAATCAGCACTGTCATATGAATCCACAACAGTCTATCTATCTACTATTAGCGATACCTTAGTGCCAAGTTCCATGGAGATGAATGATGGCAGCATGGGTTTCCTGATACTGTATTTCTCATACCACAGACGATCATATTTAGTGTCATAATCCACAGCAACAAAAAACTGAAAGTGTAACATATAACGGGAAAGATTAATACCAGTAAAAATGGGCTTTTCCATGTGAATCCATCTGTAACATTTAAAATCAGTGATGGAAAGATGATATGTTGCCTTGCATCTCAATATTATATACCAATAAGTAAGGTAAGGTGTTGTTACAAAAAAGGTTATAGGCTGATGAGCATGATTTACCAACAAATAGTTGCATGCACTGCCCTGTAATATGAACACAAAATTAACTATAACATACAAGGTGTAGCTGGGTTACCAACCCAAGAAGGCAAAGAAATCCTTTTGAGTAGCTTTTACATAACGACCTTACCTCGTTGTACAAATCATCAAGTTCCCCTTCATAAATCCATCTATCAAGAATGACACGGATTGGACGAGCAACCTGTGATAGGAAATTACAGGATAAACATGTACTACATAATTATAATAAAAGTAATAATGATAATGAAATAATTATTATAACAATAATAATAACGTCTCACTTAATATGGTTGAACGTCCCGTTACCACCAATTCAAAATGTAAAGAGTTGATGAAAGATTCCAAATTTGAACAAACAGTTAGTAACTTTCAGTGAGAAAATGTTGGTATTATTTTTAGAAAAAAAATTTGCTTTCCTCTTACACAGGCCTACCAACCCCCCTTTTGAATTTCACTAACATTAACTTTACTCCTGCAAATGTTGCTTGCCTATCAGACAACTTGTAATGCTAGCCTGATGGGTAATTCCTTAAGCCCCGGTATATCAGACAGCACTTTTGCCACTAGCAGTTCTTACCAGATTAAGAATATGCCTGACAAGAGACTTGACAAAGGGATCCCCATGCTGCATGTTAGAATGAAGAGCAGACAACAAAGCTCCTCCTTTCTTTCCTGTATTAAAAAGACAATTATTAATCAATAGATTTGACAATAACAAAACCATTTAAACCGTAAGGATGATTAGAATTTAACCCTTCCTAAGTTATATTATCATAGTAATTGTTAATTAAAGATAATGCTCTCAAGAATGACAGAAATGATCATCAACAAACAAATCCTAATTTTTCATTTTTATTTTTATTAATTGTTTTTGTCTATTGTATTGAATTATTAATTTTTTGGACCTTGTTTTTTTTTCAAGGGCATTGTAACAAGCCATACTTCTTAGGCTACTAGTGTTGAAATAAATAGAGGATATTACATGGTGGCGAGAAGATATGAATTTTATGTTCGAGTGGCAAGAACAATATCTCACGAGTGAGCGAAGCGAACGAGTGAGATATTGTTCTTGCCACAAGAACATAAAATTCATATCTTCGAGCCAACGTGTAATGTTCTTTTTATTATATGGAGAAACCAATTCAACAAAAGCAAAAGGCGGGAATCGTGACGTCATTGAACGATACGACACTCACAAAGGTGACATACGGAAAATACGCCACTCGGGTCCCGGATGAAGTGGCGTATGGAATCTACGAGTGGTTTAGTTCCCAGTAAAACACTCTCCTCCATATAATAAATAACATATATGTCTCTCTCTGTCTGTGTCTAAATTCTGATTGTTTAACAAATTCTCCTCACTGGTACCTCAGAAAATGAATACATATGGAGTGAGGAGAATATGGATGTAGATATAAAGGTGCAAATGGTTAACCAGTGGATCAGTACCTAGGGGAATTTAAAGATTAAGTTTTGGGCCTGTGAATATTTTCAAACACTGTTGTGCATGTGTATTTGCGAAAATTCTCTGCACTAAATCAAAACTGTTTTGACTACTACTCTTAGCCTCAGAAAGCATGCCCTCCAAATAAGATTTGTATAGGTAATAGCATGATTTGTAGTGATATTTGGCATACATAACACAAGTGATATTTCAAAATTGTTATACGTAATTTTACGAGCCGTTAAGCAAGTGAAAGTTGAGACAATTTTGAAATATCACGAATGGTATTTATGCCAAATATCATGTACAAATCATGCTATTATTTGTTTATACTACTACCCGCAAAAGGTTTGTAATTTTCACATGTAGGTACTTCAAATTAAGCTGAAATACCACTGCTCTAAGCCAATCAGATTGCAGAAATTTCTCATATAGTAGTATAAAAAGTATAAAAACACTTACAAAAATTAATGTACTAGAACCATTGTCAATGTCATTTTGACAATTCACTGCACTGTCACTTATTATTCCTTCCATTTGATAGAAGTTCAAGTCCCAAATTCACAATTTCTGCTTTCCACTCACAGTATTGTGCTATTGAGTAATCACTGTACCTTTGCAAGCATCAACCAATGCAGCAAGGGTCCTTAACCTCATCATTGGATCATATGTCCACACCATCAATCTCCGTAGTGTCAAACTTCCACTTGCTCCCTCTCCAACAATTCCTGCATCACCAACTTGATGTTGGCCTTCCAGCACAGCTAACAGCCTGTAGTATTCAGTGAGCTCCTGCTGCAGAGCAGCGCAAAAACTCTGTCCTACCAATCCCATTGCCTTGTCTCCTGTGGGTAGAAATAATGTTGCAGAGGGCCTGTGAGGGTGAAACTCCAACAGTGAAGAAGACAAGTGCAAATACAATACATGTACATGTTTTAACTTTGGTGCTCCTGGGTGTTACATGTCTAAATAAAGGATTTGATTTGATTTGATTTGAATAGTAAAAATACAAAGAGGAACATTGGCCTCATCCTCAAAATGTGAAATGATGGGTCATCAAATTAAGACTAGGGACACAAATGTAATTGTTACAGGTCAAAATTAAATTGAGGTTAAAATTTTTTAAGCTACATGTAGGTTGAATCTCAATTTCTTCTGTCTCCTAGCTCTAATTCACAAAAGCTGTAATAAATTTACCTTGCAAAGAGAGCCTCTTCACACTCTTGACACACTGTACACACAGGGTTTTTAACATATTTGGGATTTTCAGGGGTTATATAGAGTACAAATGTAAAAATTCCATACAAATACCTGCATGTGCATCTAAGTATTTCCGTATTTTGCGATACAGCCAGCCCAGCTCAGCCACCTTGTGAACAAGTTCCCGGACAGGCTTGGGAACTCCAAGTTTGGGATCAATGCGATAAGCATCATTGGCTTGGTCAAACTTGATTACTTTTCCCTCAATTCCTTGGAAGATGTAAATAATATCTCGGAGTAGAGCAGCTTCAGAAATCTCATATGAAGCTGAAAGCAAAAAAGTGTGTTCTACATGATTGTAGTTTTGTCTGAGCACGTAAGATCTACAGCACAAACATATGTACCTCATAAGTTTTTTCCCCCTGATATTTATGGTTCAAAATCAAGGTTAGTACAAAGTGCACTGGCAAGGGCCATGATCAAGAGGAAAATTAGGATCTCTATTAGTAACTTACTGTATGATCCAGATCAAGAAAACAACACTAATAGGTGTAATGTGTAATGTTGTGGATTAGAGGACAACAAGACATGCCCTCTTGACATTATATATTGACATGTTAACAGTAAGCTCAGACATTAGCATACAAGGGCGCCACTGGCAGCCAACGTACATTTATGAGCTTACTGTAACCCACCCATAGCCCATGATATATGAATGATGTGTGATGAGTGAAAGGTAGACCACACCCTCGAGGAAACTTCCCCTACTCTTTTGAAACAGTAGTTTTGGTTCTTTTATGTCCACTTCGATTTGACTAATGAAAGAAGGATGAAGGAGACAAAGCCAGAGGCTTAATGTCACTGCCCAATGACAAAATGATCTTAACTGAGACAGACTTCAGAAAATTGAAGGGAATTTATTACAATAAGCTTCAAAAATTGTACACGAATGGAACAATCATCTAGAAATTTTTAGCCATCCTCAAGTAATAAAAAAAACCAGGCAATAGTTGCTTCTTTGAACAGATATTTAAAGAAAACAGTGGTTGGGTGCCCAGTCTACCACTTGGGCCTTTATTTCAAGCACCCCATCATTATAACCTTCCTGTGAATGATCAAGAGAAAGAAGATGAGAAACAACAATATTTTCCTCCCCTCTAACTGACCCACCCATCTCTGCACCATTGAGCAAAGGAAAGTAAACTGCCAGAATTTCATGACAGCTGTACATGTACTGCCTACAAGGAAGTTTTTATTCATCTGGCACCAGTTGTTCAAAATGTGAATGGAGTGATCCACTGGATAAATCTCTATCCCGAAATCCAGTGGACAGTTCCCCCAAAACTTATCTACTGGATAAACTTTTCTAACCATTGGCTCTTGAAAAACTAAGGCTAGCATGTTTGCAGTGTGGTCAAAAGGCCTGTTTACATTTTCTGAAAAGGTACCGTGTAATTGAAGCTTTGTCTGGATTATTGGTATAACAACTTACTATTCTGTGTGTCATATCCATAATTCATAAATCGCACTGCAGATGGCAATGCTGATGACTGTCCAGAAGTTGGTAACCTGTTTTGGGACACACTTAATGACTGTGCCACAAGTGTAGCCAAGCGAGATCCATCACTTCCTTCCTGCATTAAGACTTCATCAGCAAAATGAACTGATGGTGTTGGCCCATAATTTGGGGCAAATGACGCGGGGGTAGGAGTGGGATCTAAGGATCTGGACGCTACACTGCTGACACCCGAGCTGCTTTCAGTTGCATGAGTCATCGAAAGAACACCAGGCGTGTGACTAGAAGGACGCTGGGATGCCTGTGTAGAAACTGCAGGTGTAGACGTCAGGTATGTAGGTAGCCCTTGACCAAAGAAGGATGCAGCCCCGGCAGCCTAAGAAGAAAGCGACATAAACTTCACCAGCCTGTTGGATCATCACAGTTAGCATAATATGGCAATAAAAAAGTTCCTGCAACTTTTGTCCACTATCACTCTGTGAATTCAGCGTGCAAAGAAAGTAGTGTACGATAGCCCGGGGCTAGTGGATTTTGCTATCGGGCTAGTGAATTCTGTTATTAACTTGCCCGATGGGCAAGTGAATTTTTTTGAGGAATTCAAATTACAGAAGAACTGTGAAATCAATCTGCTCATCAAAACGTTTTGTGGGCTAGTTGAAATGATATTTGGGCTAGTAAGTGTTAGCTTCAGCTTGCCCGAATGACAAGCTGTAAAAATGGCTTTCTTTGCACCCTGGAATTGCATGTATGGAATTTCTTTTTTTTTGTTAAAGGAAAATTTACAGTAAATAAATACTTTTATTTGTATTAAAGTTTGGTACAGAACATCAAGGTCAAACTCCTTGGTTAAAATGTTTAACATAATTTACATGAGTGATGTAACACTGTAACCCACATAATTAATTTTATAAGAACATGATCTTGCTGGGCTAAACAGCTTCTTTTATATTTTTGGGTATTAAAACGGCAAATATCTGGCAGCAGGTTCTTGAAACCACCAATCTCTCACATGCGGGTGTTTACAGTATTTTGTTGGGTAAAGCAGGTGTAGGATGAACGGTTTGATATATTATAATGGATGGTTTGAGCTGACTATTGTAAGAAAAAGAAAACAGCAGTGTTTTATCCTTGACCTCTCTTTTGTTACTTACCTGACCATGTGAATGATCTGCCCCTGAGCTTTCGCTGACACTCAACAAAAAATAAAGAATTGCCCATCTGTTTTTAAGAACTGGCTGAAATTCAAATATAAATTAAAGAGATTATTGATGTAAACGACAGTTAAAAATACCAGTTTCCTTTGACAAAGAAAATTTTTACTGGTGAAAGCACTCACTCCCACCAATGTGCTCTGGGTTCCGTTGATCACTGTTATTACATTGTCAATCATTTCAGTTTTGTTAGTTTTATATGGATTTCATGAGTTTTTGGATATTGATGACCAGTGGCTGGTCCTGACCCCTCTACTCAAAAACCCCACATTTTTAAACTTCAGATAAGCCCAGCATGCCCAATCAATGAAAATCGATCATCGAAAACCAATCAATATATTCAATAATAATATTATTAATCAATTAATACTGATAATACTCACAATCCAAGTCGTCTTAATAGCATAAGGGTATAAGCAGATACGTTACGCATCCGTTTGCATGGACTTGAGTCAGTCTTACTGAAGTCTTACATGGGTTTCAATGGATTAGACTTTTAAGGAAGAGAAAAATGACAGTAGGTAAGACTTTCAATTACTATGAGTGCCTAGCTTAAACATATCTGAAATCATTAAACGACCACTGACAAGCAATATAATTGATGAAAATTGATACTCACAGCTCGTTCAATCTTTGATTTTCATCAATTTCCAAAAAGTGAACATCAATCAATTAGTCACTATTGATTAAAATCCGTTACTATAATTGATTTTATTGGTTATCGAATTTCATCGATTGGGCAGGCCGGGGGATAAGACATGGGTTAGGATGTGGTTAGATGAGAAGTAACATATCAAAATTTATTTACAATATATAAAGCTCTTACTTGTGAGGCCAATTTACGATACAACTCAGAGAAGACAGCAATGTCCACCTCTCTTTTCTCCTTGAGTACTATTAAAACAAAACAAACACTTTAAGATTTCCTGTGTTTTCTCTTCTACAGTGTGGTAGTAATGGCTCAGTAAATTCCAAGTTCACCGACTGTTAGATAAAACAAAAACTTACATTTCCTTTTTATTCTTTCCACAACTCTGAATTCATCTG